GTTGCTAGATTTGAGCAAACAATTGCTGGAACACAGCCTGTGAAAATAAGAGTTCCTAGATCTTGTTCTGGCAGGATCCAGCTCAAATTAACTCCTGTGTGTAGCGTATTTGCTGAACAGAGTATGGTAAGTTTATTGTAACTGATCTGTAAAAAAAAAAACTAAAACTAAACAACAATAATAAATTCTCTTTGATCCTCCAACCCGCTTGTGTAAGGATGGTACCTTTTTGTGGCCCGGTTTGTGTCTGTGTTCCCTCGTGCTCCCTCGTTAGTTCCATTAGTGCCACCCTTGTCTCGTCCCAGCTGTTTGTAATCATGTCTCGTCTTGTCCCTGTATATAAGCCGTCTGTTCAGTCTTGTTCATTGTCGCGTCGTACTCGTTGGGTCTCCTGTGTTCCCCCTGAGTCTTCCTAGTTCCCTGAGTTCCCCGTGCCTTCTTCCTGTTTCATGTAAGTTGTGCTGCCCCGTCAGCTTGTTATTTTGTATCTTTATTTTACCATTAAATTCCTATTTTTATATTCTGCCGAGTTGAGTCCCTGTTCTGCACTCTGGGTTCGCTCCTTCCTAGCAAATCCTAACAGCTTGTCATTAGCTGCGTGCTGCAAGCTAATTTTTAGACAACCTAGCATAATAGGGAGGGAGACAGGGAATTATTGAGGAGCACACAGAAGCAACCAAAAGTCAAGATAAGAAACAGCAAGGAGGTGTACAAGAAGAAGCTGGAGAGCAAGCTCCAGCAGAACAATATCAGAGAGGTGTGGTCAGGGATGAAACAGATCACAGGCTTCAAGCAGAAGAAGGATCAGAAGGATGGAAGCCTGGACAGAGCCAATGAACTGAACACGTTCTTCAGTAGGTTCAGTTCAGGAACAAGCTCAGCATCCTCCTCTCTTGCCCACAACCAAACATACATACCAACCTCCTTTGACCCAAGGCTATCCTGTCACCTCAAATATTGTATCTACCACCTCAGTCATGGACCCTTCTTTTACATATTGGTCTTCAACCAAATCAGAAGATGCTGATACCTCCTTTGCCTCCCCCCTCTGCGTCTCCAGAAGTCAGGTGAGGAAGCAGCTGGAGAGACTGAACCAGAATAAGGCTGCAGGTCCATATGGTGTCAGTCCCAGAGTCCTGAAGGTTTGTGCAGAGCAGCTCTGTGGGGTTCTGCAGCACCTCTTCAACCTTAGCCTGACCCAGGAGAAGGTTCCAGTGTTGTGGAAAACATCCTGCCTTGTTCAAGTACCAAAGAAACCTCACCCATCAGTCCTCAATGACTATAGACCTGTTGCCCTGACATCCCACATCATGAAGGTCCTAGAGAGACTTCTGCTGACCCACCTGACTAAACAAACAAGCACATATCAGGACCCACTGCAGTTTGCTTATCAGCGTGGACTTGGAGTTGAAGATGCCATCATACACCTGCTTCAGCAAACTCACTGTCATCTAGAAAAGGCAGACAGCACTGTGAGAGTCGTGTTCTTTGATTTCTCCAGTACATTTAACACAATCCAGCCTGATCTGCTTTGTCAGAAACTCCAGAAGACTCAGGTGGAGGCCTCAACAATCGCCTGGATCAAAGACTACCTGACGGACAGACCACAGTTTGTGAGACTGAAGGGTTGTGAGTCTGACCAGGTGGTCAGTAGCTCAGGAGCACCACAGGGTACTGTGTTCTCACCATTCCTTTTCACTCTGTACACCTCAGATTTCCAGTACAAAACAGACTCCTGTCATCTGCAGAAATATTCAGATGACTCTGCAGTAGTCGGGTGGATCAGAGATGGACAAGAAGCTGAGTACAGGGAACTGGTGGACTGCTTTGTGGCATGATGTGGAAACAATCATCTCATCTTGAATGTGAGCAAAACAAAGGAGATGATTGTAGATTTCAGGAGAATCAGGAACAGATCCAACCCTATTTCCATCATGGGAGAAGAAGTGGAGGTGGTGGAGAAGTATAAATACCTTGGGGTTCACCTGGGCAGCACGGTGGCACAACTGGTAGAGCTGCTGCCTCTCAGCGAACAGGTCCTTGGTTCAAACCCCGGTCCAGGGGCCTTTCTGGGTGGAGTTTGCATGTTCTCTCCGTGCATGTGTGGGTTTTCTCCGGGTGCTCCGGTTTCCTCCCACAGACCAGAAACATGCATGTTAGGCTGATTGGTAACTCTAAATTGTCCCTAGGTGTGAGTGAGAGAGTGAATGGTTGTTTGTCTCGTTTGTCTCTATGTGTCCCTGTGATGGACTGGAGACCCGTCCAGGGTGTACCCCGCCCCTCGCACAGTGATTGCTGGACATGGGCACCAGCGACCCCCGTGACCCAAAATGGAATAAGCGGGTAAAGATAATGGATGGATGGGTTCACCTGGACAACAGACTGGACTGGAGATGCAACAGTGAAGCGTCTACAAGAAGGGACAGAGCAGACTGTACTTCTTGAGGAAGCTGAAGTCCTTCAACGTTTGCAGCAAGATGCTGCATATCTTATATAAGTCTGTTGTAGAGAGCGCTATCTCTTCTGCCATCATCTGCTGGGGGAGCAGCACCAGAGCAAGTGACTTAAAAAAGATCAACAAGCTCATAAAGAAGGCTGGCTCAGTTCTGGGGACTCCTCTAGAACCTTTGGAGATGATTGTACAAAGAAGGATTCTTCATCAAATGAAGAACATTATAGACAACCCTCAGCATCCTCTTCATCAGACTGTCATACAACAACAGTGTCTTCAGTCAGAGGCTTCTTCAGATCTGTTGTAGGACAGACGCTACAAGACATCCTTCCTGCCCACAGTCATCAGCACCTATAACAACTCTTTAATGAAACCAGGATGATGAGTGTAGTGGACTAGGCCTGATGTCAAAACTAAGCCTAAGGTCAAAACCCTTGACCTTAAGAACCTTGTGGGACAGAAACTGTCATTTCATTGATTTGAATCCAGAAATACAGGTTCACCCATCCTGAGACTATCTTTCTTGAAAATTCAAGTGAAAGAACACTCTCTTTTCTATTATCATTCCTGTTTTACAAATGTTTGATAATCAAAGTGTTTTAGTTCAAACATTTTAGATGTTACAGTGAACTAATCAATTTTATTAACTGTAAAACAGTAACAATGATTTTTTAGTTGCTTATGCAAAGTAGAATTCATGTTAAGGCCTGTTACAGATTTTTATGCATTTTCTGATTTCTGTCTTTGAATGAGCAAGTGTGCGTTTTCCAAGGTCAGGAGTCGAAGCAGACATGTGTTGGAACAACTGTCTTGTTTACATCCTCTCAGACGTCAACAGAGAAGTTGGCACCTGTTTCTCCAAACTCGCCAAAACAAAACTTCTCTCTGTCTCTGAGAACAGTTTAATCTGTTCCATAACAATTCTTGCTGTTTTCTGACTTCTAGTAACCTCTTACGTCACAAACCACACCCCTGTCTGGTTGATATTGACCAATCAGGGACTCCCAAATGGACCGGGAATAGAGCTCTTTAAAATGCCGGTACTTCCTGGTTCTCCAGTCTGAGAAGCGCGGAGCAGTTCTGAGATGTTCGCAGTTCTGTGAAGTTGTTTGGGAGAACAGAAGTCCAGCCATGATAAGGCTCCTCCGAGTTTGGATTATAACATCTTCCACCTCTGAGTGGAACTTCTGAAGGACTCCACTCATGTGAAGTCCACTTGCTGAGGTGAGCTTGTGTCGGACGGAATCTCGTCACTACTTCGGACGAGTCACAGCCATCCTATGGAGACGCTGGACAGGTAGCGTTAACTGGACTTCGTATCTGCTGATTCATCTTCAGAGAGGTAATAAGTCAAGTTACTACCAAGCGTACCGAGGAAAAGCTGGGTTCGAATGGAGAGTGTCGGTTCTGGTCAACACTCCCCCTCACACACCATCTTTTACTCCCTTTAAACTTCATTTTCCATCTTTAAAAATTCTTCTATCAAGTAGAAATTAATCCAGATGTTTTTAGAAATGTCTGTGTAAAGTGCTTATCCACCGCCGTGTGGATAATTGATCATAATTGTACAGTTTTCATTAATGTCTGTGGTGAAGCAACGGAAAATCATGGCCGTATGGTTTTCCTGGTTGTAAAGCTGATTGATTATGTTGTTATTCTCATATTCTGCCAAATTAATGTAAATGTTTGATGTTAAACTTTGATTCTGTAAAATAAATGACCACATTCATTTTGATGGGTCAAAGATAAATGACGTCTCACGTTTACATTTCATTAAATTCAATGCACGTTTTATTCAGTCCAGAAAAATGAAGAATCCGTTTTAATTGATGAATATATCTCAGCATCTGTTCATCTACATACTGGTGGCCCGTACAACAACATTTAATTTCCCTCTGGGATTAATAAAGTATTTTTGAATTGAACTGAATGGAATAAGCTATTGCCTTGTAAAATTTTATCCAGAACAATAAATCTAACGTAGCGGTAAAATATATCAGTGTTAGTAACGTTATCATTGTCATCCTCAAAGAAATGCATCGTGTGTCTGAAATCTTTAGTTTTGTACAAAGAAAAAATAAATGCCACTGCAATCATTATCAGTTAGACCTTCACCATACGTGACTGACTGTTTAAACAATGAACAGGAAAGGATGTTTCTTTTTCATTTATATTTTTCTAACATGCTTGATAAATTCATGGTGAATAGTGGAGGACAGAAAATGTGCACGCATGTTAGGAAAACTGTTTCAAGACTTCACGTGTTAAAACAGATTTAAAAGTGGTTGTTTATTTAGATTCTTGTAGACAAAGCAAAAAAAATAAATTCAGAGATCATATTGGTTTAGGCTTCCTCGCCAAATAACGGTATTAGTTATAGCCAAAATGTCCATATCAGTCGGGCTCTACTTTTCATCCAAAAAGTGGTACAACCATTTGAAAACCTGTTAAAACAGTGACATAATGTTGCTCCGATCCATACACAAAGTGCAGAAAGAATAAATTCAGTTCACATTTCTTTACCAAGCATTTTCTAAATAGTTCTTACCAAGCAAAGTGTCATAATCTTGCCAGTGTAAATATCAGGAGAGAGAATGGTTCCGAGAACCATGGGCTCCAAATATTCTGACACCAGCCATTTGTCTGGGAACTGCGTCGGGTTCACGATGGTGATCTCCTCACTGCCACGTTCCTGGAAGGATAAGAAGGTTTAAACAGAGAATTACTCAGGGTCGAGATGGTGTAGCGGTAGGGCAGCTGAGTTGGGACCAGAAAGTCGTAGGTTCATCTCCTCAGAAAGTCGTAGGTTCATCTCCTCAGAAAGTCGTAGGTTCATCTCCTCGCCATGCCCACATGTCGTGGTTTCCTTGCACAAGACACCTAATCCCTAATTGCTCCCTGGGCGCTTACATAACTGCCTACTGCTCCACCTGGATGTATCTCACATGTGATGGGCTGGATGGGAGACTGTGACGAAGTGAAGATTCACCGAGTCTGCTGCTTCCTTAGATAGAGAACTTTACTAATTGTCTTTTCTATGTGTGTGAATGTTCATGAATGGGGCAACCCTGCAACAACTTTGTTGTGATTTGACCCTATATAAATAAACTGAATTGAACATACAATGATGACAACACATACAGCTTGTTTCAAGTTAAGAGAAATAAAAAATGACTTCCCTCCCATTTCTATTCCAGCAAATCTGAGAAATAATAAGCATGAAAAGGATTGATAAAAACAGGTTAAAAAATCTTAATCTAATAATTACAGTTAAGGATTCCAGTGTGGTCAAAACATTACCCCATCATGCATTTCACTACGCTGGTGTCTTACACCGAAATCTTTAAATCGTTAGCTTAAGGAGTTCCCATCAAGAATCACTTGTGCATATCATTCAACAGGAAGGTATTCCAGTGACATAAGACCACCCTGATTCATTCAGCTGTAATCCGTGTGAGCCAAGCTCAGCAGTAAAACTGGAAGATATATGTGCAGGAGCCAGCTCTTACTTTGATGAGTTTGGCCGAGGAGAGGACAGCCTTGTAGGGAACAGTGGGTGCAGTTATGATGACTGAAGCATTGTACTCCTGCTCCAGTCTCTGATTAAACACCTCCATGTGGAGAAGACCCAGAAAACCAAGTCTGCAGGAACACAAGTAGGAATGATCAAGTTTTATAGGTGATATAAAAAGTTCAGGTACAGAATTATTCTCTGTGTTACTGTATAAGCTAAATAACTGCAACTATTAGACATAGATTTCCATAAGGGCTGAGCGATATCTCAATATTTTTAAAATATCAAGATAATTTCATACGTGATATAAAATGAGACTATATCGATATAAAATGATAGTCTCATACTCTACGCAGAGTTATATTTATACTTGAAAATCCACCAGTTTTTCTCCCTGTCTTCACGCAGCCCCTCCTCTCTCCCTCACTGAATACAAACCCAGTCCCTCACCTGCTTCCCCGCCTCCTGCTTGTGTGAAAGCAAGTGAAACTGCATGCTGCAGCTCTGACTTCGAAGACTTTACTCAAGTTATAAAGCTGAGCTAGATACATATGCAGATTGCCCTATCACTCCTCACAACAGGGGTTTGTTAGGGTCTTTGTTAGTTTGACTCACAGTGGGTATGTTTACATGGACATAAGTAACCGGATCAAATGGCCGGTCGGAATAAAAGTGTGTCATGTAAACGCTCCGTTCGGGTTATTTTTTGTGTATTCGGCGTGATCCGTTATAATTTGTGATCAGAACGAAACGGGTGGTTTACACCGATCCGAAACCCGATCGGTGCGCATGTAAACACTTGATCTGTTCGTTTTTATCTGATGGTGAAAAACTGACCTGACTGCGCATGTGCGACTTTGCCATTTCCGCCTGGCTAACGCTAATAATATTAGCATGTCAGGGAAGTAAAACTGGTCGGTGAGCGACACAACATTTCTACTAGAAACTTTGAAAGAGCTCAAAATGATTTCTATTACCTGCAGGTCAGTCAGGGAGTGCAATAACGTCTCCACCATCATTAAAACCTGTTGCGGGTCCATTTTGGGTGCTCAGGTTTGTTTACGTTCACCCGGAAGTAGAACTTCTTCTTCTGTGTTTTTTTTAAGGAGAGTTTACCACTCTGTGCATGTCAGTACTGCTGTTCAGAACAAAGCCCGCTGCATGTAAACGCTCATCATGAACAGATTGTGCCCATGTAAACAACACATTTGAATTATTCAAACAGAACACATTTCAATCCGGTCAGAGAATTCTGCGCATGTAAACATAGCTAGTGAAGTCACTCTGGTGACATGGATGTAAATTCCTGATCGTTGTGAAAATGACTGGGTATCATCCTAAAGCTGCTAAAAAGGAGAGGTTTGGTGTTCTCCAGGAAATTACAGTAAGTGGTTTAGAGCGGCAGGGTATGAAGTTGTCGTCCCATTAAAGAGCACAGAGACAGATATCCAGCTGAGGGTGATTTATTTGCTGTGTTTCTTCAGGTATTTACACACAGCAGTAACAGGAAAACAGCAAGGCTGCGTCCGTGTCGGGAGAGAAAAAAACTCCAATGCACGCACACAGCAGGCACTTTACACAGAGCGGTGCGTTCAATAGCATCGGAATAGCCACCGTGCATTCAAGAGCACAGGAACCATGATATTCAGATAGAAACAAGCGGTAACCAAACAGAAGCGAGCTCAGTAAACAAGCCAACTGCACAACAATGTGGGTTTCTAACAGCTTTGCTAATAAAGGTTAATAAAGGTTGAATGAATATCCGTCATTAGAATCAGACATTTTAAAGAGCACGTCAGCCTTTCATTATGTTTGCTCTGTATGTGCTCTGTTTAAATTTTAAGTGCACAGCTGTGATTTTGGTTTTGTTATGCAGGAAAATAACATTATTTTATTTTTGAGACATTTCTTTTGTACAGTTACAGCTGTTTGAAAATAAAGGTGCCTGTGTGACAATTGGGACAAAGCTTTGACTCAGAAATATAATTTTGTTATTACGTTAATGAAAGAAAATTATTGAGATATATATCATATATTGTCATTCATCTTAAAAATATTGAGATATTAATTTTGGTCTATATCACCCAGCCCTAATTTCCATCATCAGGGTGGAAAAAGTATTTAGGGTAATATAAGAACCCTTACAGACCATTAAAAACAATATTTCAGATTTTTTTGGAATGGGGTTCTGTTCACAAGTTATGAACAATTAATATCTCACCTGTTGTAGATAGCTCTTTGAACAATTTCAATTTGTAGAAATAAAGTTGAACTTTGGACTAATGAGCTTCCAATGAGTTTAAGTAAAGCCTTCTTTAAACCATACTAATCTAAAAAAATCTTTTTTTAAACCTTTATAAAGCAAAATGGACAGTGATAGATTAGATTAGATTAGATTAGATTAGATTAGATTAGATTAGATTCCGGACCATAGGGTAAGGGGAGCAGCCCGAATCTGACGGTCAGCTGCTGGTTGGTTCAGGGCTTCTGCCTCCCTTTTGTGTTTGTTTTAGTCGGGGTTCCCAGTTCTTCTTTGTTCAGATGTAATCGTCTGGACTTTGCATATTGTCCATCCTATGAGTTACTCCTGGACATAAAGACCAAAACAGACTTCTTATCCTCTTTTAAAGACACATTTGTATAGGAGTGCAGCGTTTCCTCTAGATAACTTGCTATGGTGGGGCACTCATTTTGTCCGTGACTATTGGGGTAGAGGTAGGGCAGCTGACTTGGGACCAGAAAGTCATGGTTCGACTCCCAGCCATTCCCACATGTCGTGGTGTCTCTGAGCATTGCTGCCTGCTGCTCCACCTGAGTGTATCTCAGGTGTGATGAGTTAAATCATGGGTGTCATGGGTTAAATGGGGTTTTCCATCTTTAAATCACTTCTTGGTCTGTTGTCTTCATATACAGTATCTCTTCCTACATGTCACTATGTGAGTGCAGATACAGCGTGCGCTTTTAGGACACAAAAAATACATGCAGTGTACCCTCAGTGCGGACTGAACTAGGCAAAAGGGCCTTCTCCTACTTGGCTCCTGTATCCTGGAACACCTTGCAAAAAGATCTGAAGCTCTCAACCTTGACCTCACTAAGTGGCTTCAAACATCTCAAGGGTCAAGGTTCTTTGTCATTTGCATGGTGGTACATGAGGTGGAACAAAATTATGTACTCAGGGTCCCAATTAGATACAACAATAGCAAAAATATAAAGTGTAAAAAGAAACAGTGAATAAGGATCTAAGATATACACTAATATACACTAAACAAACGCCAAACTGTACGCTCAAAGATCTAAGATAAATGCTAGTCACTAATAGTGCAAAGCAATACACAGAACAACAGCAACACAAACATGAGTCTTTGTGGGTGGATTAATACTAATGAATGAATACAACAGCATGAAAAAAATCAGAAGCATGGGATCAGCAGCACAGATCAACAATCAAAGTTGCATGACTGATTTTTTTTCACAGTGATTCTCCTGGTTAGAGATTCATGAGTCTAACAACCTCAGGGTAGAAGCTGTTCCTCAGTCTAGTGGTTCTACACTTAATGCTCCTTAACCTCCTTCCTGAGGGGAGTGGGGCAAAAAGTGTGTGTGCTGGGTGAGTGGGGTCCTTCATGATGCAGGTGGCTCTCTTCCTGCATCTGGAGGTGTAGATGTCTGTGATGTGACGTCTCCCTCCCTCTCCGCTTTGCTGCTCTGTCTGTCTGTGAAACTGCTTCTGAGACTCTCTTGCATTTCTTCCGAACCATAATTATAGACTTGTTTCGACCAGTTGGTCCCTCAACTCAATTTACAGCATTTCTTCAAAGAGAATACAGGCTTTAGGCGAGCTGATTTGCCTTGTTGGCACGCATGCAGCTGGATATCTCATCGACTGGAAGACTTGATGATGTGTCTCTCTCTGCTGCCATCTGTGGATTTTAAGGACGCATATTTAATTGGATTCACGATAACTGGTTCCTGCTTTTTGGATTCAGCTGGTCCTGGTTTTTATCTACAATCAAGGAAGCCGTCAGCAACAAATTTGGACCCGATCACGCTGCTTGCCTTTATGATGGTTTGGTTTCATGTCTCGAGTACCTGGACTCAAATGCTTTGGGCTGAATGGATCACATCTTGGGGATTTTTACTCAGACATGTTCCATCGGTTTGGCCATGTTAATTTGGACATTTCGGAACCGAGTGGACCAACACAGACTCAAGGTAGATGTCATTAAGTTCTGCCTGCCCCCAAAACAACTGTGTGTTTATCTAAATTTTGGTCACCTTGTTTGTCCTTGAAGGCCACCTTATCTGAATTTCGCCTGGAGAAAATGCGATCTGATGCTCACCACCCCCTCCCTGAGGAATTTCCAACTGATAACCAGATGAAACCAGCTGAATAAACATTGTGTCATCATTTCAGGACTCTTGGATACTCAGGGGTTATTCTTGGCCATTCCTCGACATACCTTGAGAATGTTTATGGATCTCACCGGAGGACATTGACTGATTACAGTGACCTCGAGAGCATCTGTAGGCGTTGTTGACCGCTCTCGTCTCTTCCTTCTTCCTGCTCTTCTCTATTGCAGAATGTCTACGTAAATATGTGCTTGTTTGTGCGAGGTGTTTTTTCAATATTAGGGGTTTTTCTCAGCCAAGAAAAAAGCCTGATAGGAATTTTTTTTGCCTCCAACTCCTACATGTGTCCAGTTAACCACTGTTTTTGTCTGTCCAAACAGGTCTCACTTGTAAATGAGTCTTCGAGGCGCAATGTGATTTATCTGTTTAAATAAAGGTTGAATGAATGATGGTGGGGAGAGTGACTCCAACATCTTCTGTGCAGCCTTCACCACTCTCTGCAAAGATTTTCTTTCTGCAGCCTCCATGCCACTCGTTGATGCTGGAGCACAGGATGCTCTCCACTGCACACCTGTAGAAGGAGGTGAGGACTGAGCTTCCCAGACCAGCTCGTCTCAGCCGCCTGAGGAAGTAGATGAGCTTTCTTCATCAGGCTGGTGGTGTTGTTGCTCCAGCTGAGGTTGTTGTTCAGGTGCACACACAAGTACTTGTAGCTGGAGACCACTTCCAATGCAGATCCTCCTATGGTCAGGGGGGTGTAGGTGACTTTGCTCAATCT